TCAGGCATTTTGTGGAAGCCTTATAGGAGATTATATACCCTTCATGGGGAATTTAAGGAAGCGGGTGTAAATCACAGCTCCTTTCCCTAACCTGCGGTGCGGCGCTCACTGGAGCCTTTGGGCTGGATTAGCTCCGCGTATTTGCGTTGTAAAGTCTGATGTGTTCGTCAGCATCAAAATATGAGTTGTTTTTATGGTATCAATGATTAAATATTTTTCTTTGAGATCACAGAGTCCAACAAAATAAATGCTTCTGCGAAGGCATTCAAAAAAAAAAACCCAAAAGAAGGGGGGAAAAATCACTCTGAAAACCCCTTTTGTCATTTGCAACCAATAAAAATGCCTATTGTTACGAAGGGCTCATAAATAATCTGATTTTTGGCAGGCTTTCATACCATACAGAAAATGAATAAATTAAACTTGATTTACAGCCTTTTTCATTCTTATTAGAGTTGCTCCAAACATTTTATGTAATGTACGTGCCAGATGAGCTGCACCAAATGGTTCGAGGCTCCGGTCCTGGGCTTATAGAGATGAAGTTGTTTGGATTTGCATAGTTTAATTAACTAATCCTGGCAAAGCAAGAAGAGAATGGAGGTAAAAGGGATTGCTTTTGCTGGGGGGTGTCTGAGGACTAAATGAACCCCAAAAAGGGGTTGAGCTGGTGCCAGCGTAAAGGAACACCCAGGTCCCTAAAGTGCTTTAGGGTAAGCCCCTTCCTATTGACATGGGTACAGAATCACACTTTAGAGATGGGGAAACTGAGGCACGTAAACTAGACTGCTCTCTGCAGCACTACTGTGATGTTAAGACCGGATCTTACTGCGTGCTCCCTTCCCATCATGCTTACCCAAAGCCAACACAGCCAAGCTCTTATCCCACTGCACTGTCCCCATCATGGGGATGCTGCCACCTTCCATCCCATCCCATCCCATCCCTGGGGATGCTGTTCCTTTGTGGATGGGGCTGGGGAGCGCTCCCATTGCTGCCCCCCAACCTCAGGTCTTGGGGTTGCTCTGATTAATCCCCCTCCTAAAGAAGGGGAGGGATGGACCCTCTGGTTGCCAGGATTAGGGTGCAATACCCCAACCAGCAGCCCATTGCTGTGAAGAGCATTGCAGCAGCAGGAAATTCAGGCCAAAACCCACCCAAAACAAGCCTCAACTGCAGTCTCCATGACCCAGCATCGGCCCCGCTGCCTGTTTTGATCCCAGGCCTCGCTCCCCTCCGGAGCTCTTTGATAAGTGTGGGATGTTCTCCTCCCCCTCCTGCGATTCATCCCCTAGAATTTCACACCAGGAAACAGCTTCATTACATCAACAACAGGAAGACCCCACTGATTTGTCACACAGAAAACCAGCTGTTAGTCACACATCAAGGGAACAGGGGAGGGGAATAAAACCCCCTTCACCTTTCTTTGCTTTAATGTGCTTTAATGTTAATGGCTGTGCAGAGCAAAGCCAGCTACCCGGCTACTCAATAAGTAACCATCACCCAGCGAGCATCAGTTAATATCTAAGTGTCTTCCTGCTTTTCCTGCTACATGATTGCTTTGGAAAGAAAGATTAATTCCAACTTTAAACCAGAAAACACTATTTTTATCATTGCCAGAAGTCTATATGGGTTTAAAAAAGAAAAAGCACTTGCGTGTCGTTTTACATCTTGCAATTTTGTCAGTTGTTTTAAAACATGTCTCCTGTAATAAATAAGATCATTTTTATGCACTTGTTCTGCAGCTAAAAGCGAGGCCTGAGCTCGCTGCGTAGAGGTAGGACCTGGAGGATAGGAGCAGGGAAGGGAGATGCCAGCTCCAATGCTTTTGCTTCCTTGGAGGCTGGTAGAAGATGGTTCACCTATAGACTAGGAGGTGGACAACTAGCACCTGAGAAGCTCGGCTTTGAGGAACATTGGGTGCCCGTGGCACAGTGATGGATGGAGGGAGATGTCCCCTGTATCCCCACCACTGGCTGGGACCTTCATGGGACCAGGGCTGCCCCCCTGCCCCATTTCCCATAGCAAACACCCTGGCACTTCCCGCTTCTCCCCAGTTTCCCTTAAACTGCATCCAGCAGCAATAAAGGCATTTATCCCAGCGTGCAGCAAAGAGAGATGCTGCAAGAGTTGCGGTGATTGGAATTCATGGCTTATCCTATCCCAGCACCATTTTCCACACAGGCTGCAGCACTTGGATCCCTCTCTCCTTCTCCAGCCTGGACCATTCCTCACCTCCAGCACCACCAGGACTTGGGATGCCCATGCCTAGAGCCGTGCCTGTGTCCATGCCTTGACAACACTAAGAGCAGCCTATCAGCAACACAAGAAGATGCTGTGAAACTGGGGGGGTTCCGGCAATCCCTGCCCATCACTCATTTCCTAGCTGCTGCCTTTAAAGCACCTCTCTGCACCATGCAGATGTGGTGGGATGATGCTGGGAAGGGGCCTGGGAAGCAAAGTGTCACCCTTAAGCCCATCCCGAGTTGCTGAAAGCTCCTGAACTTAAAGAAAACCACAATTCCACATGGATTTTAGGATGAAGACTATGACCATAGACGCTAATGGCATGCACACCGAGCGGGATGCATCATTATCCATGATGACCCTTTGGTGATGTTTCAATCCAGCAAACACAAGATGAATCCAGATGTTCCCTGGTGTGCCAGTGCCAGGGCAGGATCAGGCCTTTGGAAGATCCCAGGCATTGAGGGAAGCAGTAACTGCAGCCCTGGAGGTACCACTGCTTAGTGCCCTCCCTCCGATTCAGCATCACCACTGCTCTTATGTGGGTGTCCCACCTCACTTCACCCTCTTTTGTCAGGGCCGTGTTGCTGTTGGCATCCAACTCGAGTGACGTTGAGGCACCTTTGGGGTGTTTGCACTTCCTCCTGACTTGAATGGCTCCTTTGAAAGGCAGCGCCTCTCCCTTCACATCCCCGCGCTCCGCATTGAATCAATCCTGTGGTCAGCTCTGGGAAGGGGGAAAGGAAAAGAGGGAAAAGCCTCACAGTGAGGGGAAAGGGACAGGTCCAACCATCAGGATGGTTGGTAGCAATGGGAGAAGGAGGACTCGATGTCGGGGTGCACCGGGGTGATGCTGGGGAGATGCAGAACCCGGAGCAGCCGGGCTTGGTGAGAGGTGACGGCAGGGACTTAATAACAGCACCACAGTTGGAACACAAAGCGCCTGTCAAGGGTTAATCTGATTCATTAGAGGCATCTTCTCCCTCTTTCCCCTCTCCCTGTTCTGGGAGGCAGGAGGGACCTAAAACCCAAACCAGGGAGGACAGAGATGGGTCCATGCCACAGGGCACCCAGAGAGCTGGTTCCTTCCCATCACAAGCGGTCACCATGAACCTGCAAGTGGTGAATGAACCACTTTCAGGCAGGGGTATGGGAAGGAAAACATGAAATGTCCAACACCCAGAGCCAAAAGACCATGCCACCCTGCAGGACAGGGTGAATAGGGAATTTATTCCTGATAAGCCTTTTTAACACCCCAAGATTTATCCATGTGTCTTGACTCCTCATGGAAAGAGGAGCTCATCCCCTCGGAGGGATGGTGGATTTCAGCCACCCCCCCGACCATGGAGCCTCAGGGCTTTGTGGGTTCAATTCAAGGATGCTGGAAAAGGGAACCAGAAATCAGAAGTTAATTGGTGGGAAGGTTAATGGACTATAGGGCAGGCTGCACTGTCACTGGCTGCATATGGGACAGGCAGATTGGGGGCAGGAGTGTGAGCTGTGCCAGGCTGATCATACCTAAGCCATACCATAGCAGCAGTGCCATGCCTTGGTGTGCCAGCTCAACCATGCCATGCCATGCCAAGTCATTCTGGGCATGCCATGCCAGCTGAGCCATGCTGTGCCATTCTAAGCTGTGCCAGCTGTGCCATGCCAGCTGAGTTGTGCCACGCCATGCCAAGGTGTGCTAGTAGTGTGATGCTCTGCCGGCTGAGCTGGGCCATGCTACAGCAAGCCATGTCAGTAGTGCCAAGCTGTGCCATGTCAAGCTGTGTCAGCCATGCCATGCTCTGCCAGCTGAGCCGTGCCGTGGTCTGCCAGCCATGCCAGGCTGTGCCATGCTAGGCTATGCCAGTAGTGCCATGCTCTGCCAGCTGAGCCATGCCATGGTCCACCAGCTGTGCCAAGCTGTGCCAGATGACCTGTGCCATGCCAGGCTATGCCAGCAGTGCCATGCTCTGCCAGCTGTGCCAAGCTGTGCTAGATGAGCTGTGCCATGCTAGGCTATGGCAGCAGTGCCATGCTCTGCCAGCTGATCCATGCTATGGTCCGCCAGCCATGCCAAGCTGTGCCAGATGACCTGTGCCATGCTAGTCTATGCCAGCAGTGCCATGGTCTGCCAGCTGTGCCAAGCTGTGCCATACTAAGCTATGCCAAGCTGTGCCAGATGAGCAGTGCCATGCCAGGCTATGCCAGTAGTGCCATGCTCTGCCAGCTGTGTCAAGCTGTGCCAGATGAGCTGTGCCATACTAAGCTATGCCAGCCGTGCCGAGCCGTGCCATGCCGGGCTATGCCAGCAGTGCCACTCTCTGCCAGCTGAGCCGCGCCAAGCCGTGCCACGCTTTTCCGCCCGTGCCGTGCCATCCTCGGCTGTGCCACCCTCTCCATGCGCCGCAGCCGATCCGCTCCGCTCTAACCCCGTTCCGCTCCGCTCCGTTCCGCTCCGTTCGGTTCCGTGCCGTGCCCGCCTCTCCCCCACGCGGCGGCGCGGCGCGGGGCGGCGGCAGCAGCGGTTCGCCCCCCCCACCGGCGGCTCTCCCCGCCCCGGGGGCCCGGCCGGGCGCGGATTGGTGCGCGGCGCCGGCCCCCTCGGAGCGCGGCCGCCATCGGGGCTATTTGACGTGTCGGTGGGGCCGGGGAAGGGTTTCGTCTCGCCGGGGCCGCCGCCGCCGCCGCTCCGCCGCCCGCCCGGCCCCGCGGAGCCCGGGGCTTTCCCCCCCCCTCCCCTCCCCTTTTCCCCCCCCCTTGCTGCCCGCCCCCAAATGAGCGGTGCCCCCGGCGGGCCCCGGCCGAGCCCCCCGCCGAGCCGCGGAGCTGCGGGCGCCCCGTCGCCCCGGCCGCCCCCCGCCGACCCGCTGCGCCAGGCCAGCCGGCTGCCCATCCGCGTCCTGAAGATGCTCAGCGCCCACGGCGGCCACCTCCTGCACCCCGAGTACCTCCAGCCGCTCTCCTCCACGCCCGTCAGCCCCATCGAGGTCAGTGCCCGCCGCTCCCCCGCTCTCCTTCCCTCCGCCGCTGCTGCAGCCCGGTCCTTTCACCACCCCCCCCTCCATACACCGCACCCCGGTTCTTCTCCTCGGCCGGGCGCGCTCCCCCTTTCCCCCGGCTCTGGCTCAGCGCCGGGCCCGTCCCCGCCGCACCCGGGGTATCGGGAGTGGGATGGGATCGGGTGGGGGCCGGGCCGGGGGCGCTGCCCGGGTTCCAACCCCCCCGTTGACCGGCTCCGCTCCGCCCGCAGCTGGACGCCAAGAAGAGCCCGCTGGCGCTGCTGGCCCAGACCTGCTCGCAGATCGGCAAACCCGACCCGCCGCCCTCCTCCAAGCTGAACGCCGTGGCCTCCGCCGGGCAGCCCGCAGCCGACAAGGAGCCCAACGCCCGCCCCAGCGCCCTGAAGCCGCCGGGCAGCGGGGACGCTCCGCCCGAGGACAAGTCCAGCTTCAAGCCCTACTCGAAGGGCGGCGGGGAGCAGCGCAAAGAGGGCGGCGCGGACAAGGCCGGCTTTCGGGTGCCCAGCGCCGCTTGCCCGCCGTTCCCCCCCCACGCCGCCGCCGCCGCCGCCTCGCCCGGTGGCTCCCGGGGGGCCTCTCCGCAGCACGCAGACCCCAAGGGCACCGAGGAGAAGAAGGAGCCCGAAGCGGGCAAACCCAGCCCCGAGGGGACGGGCGGGGGCCTGGGGCGCGGGGCGGCGGAGCCCGGGCCGCACGGAGAACCCGCTTCGGGCCGAAAGTCGGAGCCCCCCGCCCTGCCGCCCGCCGGCCATGTGGCCCCAGTGTCTCCCTACAAGCCGGGGCACTCGGTCTTCCCTTTGCCACCCTCCAGCATCGGCTACCACGGCTCCATCGTGGGTGCCTACGCCGGTTACCCGTCCCAGTTCGTGCCGGGGCTGGACCCCACTAAGCCGGGCCTGGTGGGCAGCCAGCTCCCGGGGGCACTGGGGCTGCCGGGCAAGCCGCCGAGCTCCAGCCCGCTCACCGGGGCCTCGCCGCCCTCCTTCATGCAGGGATTATGCCGGGACCCCTATTGCCTGAGCTACCACAGCGCCTCGCACCTGAGCTCCAGCAACTGCTCCAGCTGCGTGCACGACCCCGGCAGCCTCAAGAGCGGATACCCCTTGGTGTACCCCACGCACCCGCTGCATTCGGTGCACACCACGCTCTCCTCCGGCGGCACCCCCAGCCACCCCCTCTACACCTACGGCTTCATGCTGCAGAACGACCCCCTGCCCCACATATGCAACTGGGTGTCTGCCAGCGGACCCTGCGACAAGAGGTTTGCCACCTCCGAGGAGCTGCTCACCCACCTACGGACCCACACGGCCCTGCCAGGGGCGGAAAAGCTCTTGGCGGGTTACCCTACCTCCGGGCTGGGCTCCGCAGCCTCCTGCCACCTCCACCTCCCGCCCGCTGCCCCCGGGAGCCCCAACACGTTACCGGCCTCCCTCTCCTTGAGGAGCCCACACACTTTGGGACTCAACAGGTACCATCCCTACGGCAAGAGCCACTTGCCCACGGCCGGCGCCCTGCCCGTGCCCTCCTTGCCGGCCGCCGGACCTTACTACTCGCCATACGCGCTCTACGGCCAAAGACTAACTTCAGCTTCTGCACTGGGATATCAGTAACTGCGGCGGCTCCTTCCCCTCTGCGCCAGCCTTCATCCTCCTCCTCGCTCCCTCCTTGGACTGTGTATTTATTTACTGTATGTTAGCTTAAAGCTGGGAATATAAGTGCATTAATACACCAATGAATCGATGGTATGCAAAAAGTCTGTGTCCAAACAAAAAAAAAAAAACCTACAAAAAAACCTAAAAAAAAAAAAAGACAAAAAAAAAAGACAAAAAAATACTATTCTTTCCTTCGCAGGTGTGGGGCTTTGGGGGTTTTTCTCTCGTTTCTTTTGATTCTCCCCCCCCTTCCCTTTTAATTTCTCCTCCTTGAGAAATTCTTGCATGACTCCTGACACACAAGGCGAAAAAAAAAAGGCATTTTCCTCCTTCTTTCCCCCCTCCATGTTTCTCATTCTGGATTCTCGTTTGTAACGTTACAAATGCCATTTTTGTCCTTTTTTTTTTATTTTTAATGTTTTTTTTCCTTTTTTTCCCTTTAATTCCCATGATTTTTTCGGGCTGCGGCGGGCGGGCAAAGCCCCGCCTGCACCGACCCCCCCCCCCATCCATCCATCCATCCCCTCCCCGTCCCACCGTGGGGAAGAGGGGGGCAGGACCCCGGTTGTAAGCCCCGGGGCAGCGGCGAAGAGCGGCGGCGGCGGCGGCGGTGGGCAGGAGCGGGGCACCCCGCGGCCGGAGCAGCGGGAGGGCGGCGAGCGTGGCGGGTGGATGAGCTCCGGCTCGGTAAGTCCTATTTTGTTAATAAATGACTCTTGGTTATATCCACCCTCTGGTGTCGTCTCTCGTCCCGCCCCGTTCCCGACCGGGCTCCGCACCGGGGCCGCGGGCTCCCAGCACCATCTAGCGGCGGAGCCCTCGGTCCCGTGGGGTGCCCGGTGCAGCCCTTACCCCGCTCCCCGTTATCACCGCGATGGGGTTCAAGGAGGAAAGAAGGGGGGGGGGGGGAAAGATGCGTCCGGTTTCCCCGCTCCGGTTCCTCTTCCTCGGTGCGTGCGTCGGGAGGAAGGCACCGGGGTTCTCGTGCGGAGGGAAGGTTCGAGAAGGGGGTTGAGTGGAAAGCGAGGCAAGGAGCAGGGAAGGAAGTGGGGGGGAACCCACCCGAGGTTGCAGCCGCCGCTGGAATTCAGCTTTGGGGCAGGAATAGGGGGATGAAGGGGGTCGTGGATCGCGCTGGGTTTAGGGATGCTCCAGCAGCCATGGGTAGCAGGGGCCTCATCCCGTGTCTGTCCCCCCCTTTGGTGGCTGGAGTGATAAATGGCTCTGAATCGGGGCTCACTCCCATTGCTGCACCCCATGTCCCTCTGGAATGGGCTGTTATTCCAGCCCAGTGTTTGTAGCAGCACCCCCATCCGTGTCACTGCTTCCCGTTGAAGCCCCCATGTGCTCCCCTGCTTTTTTTTCCCTGCTGTTGAGTGCTTTCCTCCTGTTGCATTTTGGGTGAGTCATGCAATTAATCCCAGTTAATTGCCTTCTCTATACTGCCTTCTGCCCTGTGTTTAAATTCCTTTGTGTCCTCTGAGCTGAAAAATAATGTGCTTAAAACAGGGGCTTGCTTTGCCAATGAGATTTGCTGGTTTTCCACCCGTTCTTGTGAGTGGGGCTGGAAGCGTGTGGCTGCTGGCGAGGGCCCTGGCTGGGGTCTCTGCTGGAAACGGGAGGTGATGGTGGTGCTGGAAGCTGATGGAGGGGTTGGAGGCACCATCCCCAAGCTCCTCGAGGCTGGGGGGTGTAGGTTTCGCTGGTCCATGGCTACCCCTTGCCCTGCTGTGGCTGTGGCTCGGGTCTGGCTTTGCTCATGGTGGTCCCGCTCCTTCCCGTTGGGATGTTTGCAGGGTGAAGGCCTGGGGTTTGCAGAACCGGGTTCGGAGCAGAGGGGGCTTTGCTCTGCTCAGTGGGTGCCAGGCCCAGGCTGCTTTGGCTGTGCCGGTGTCTCCGGTCCCTGTGTCCCTTTGGCTCTCACAGGGCAGCTCCTGTGCTCCCATCCCCTCTGCTGCGGAGCTGCGTGGTGAGGTTGAAGCCATGCCGGGACCCCCTTCCCCTTGGGAGCATCGCTGCTCCCTGGATGTGGTCCCCGCTCCCACCGCTGATGCTGCTCGGTGTTGGCTTTGCTTGGGTGCCAGCGGTCCCTGGTGTAAATCACAGCTCCCCACTGCAGCTCCTGCTCCACCGTGCACAGCCTCACGCTGTGGGGCAAGAGGGTGATGCCACGATGCCCATGGATGTGCTTGAGGCGTGATACCCCTTGTGCATGGTCTGCTGGGGCTGTACCGTGGGCCAGCTAGTGAGCAGCCTGGGCAGGTATAAAGGACTTCCCAAACCCATTATCCTACCGGAGCCCTTCTCCCAGGGCATCCTGGTGCATCCTCCCCATATGGCAAAGCTCCATCTCCCCTCTTCCCCCAAACCTTTCCTCACGCCAGGATGCTCCCAGCTCCAGACCCTGGGAGCTGGATGCTGCTCAGATACATCCTGCCGTGCAGAAGGCTCCCTGAGGAATCATTTTTCCCCTCCCTAAAGACTGCAGCACTGGGGCCAGGCTGTGTAAACACTGCGAAGTATCATCTGATAGCAGCTGACACTCGGGGGCTTTATCTGCTGGGGAATGATTGTGTTGCCAATGTATTAAATAACTCCCCATGTAATGTATGCCCAGGTTATTGCGGAATTCATTTTATAATAAGAGCACTGGGATGCACTTTATTAATCATTCTGTCTAACAACCTGCACGCCACAGTTTCGGTTTGATTTGATTCAATCCTGTCTTTCTCCAAAATATATGGCTGAGTGGGTCGGATAATGTATGGCTTAATTTAGAGTTGTATGGGTTTGAATTACCATTTTCATAATGCGCTGTGCATTAATGCGGTGCATCATTTATACAGACAAATGTGCGAGGTTTCAAACCTCTCCAGGAGGCAAAAGTCACCTAAAAAGGGAGCGCGGAGCGGCAAGAAAAGGCCCTTTCAAAGGCAGCCGGTGGGAGGGGATTGAAGGTGGGTGTCGGGCACCGGGGATGGGGTGTGCAGGGTCCCCTTTTCCCCTTGTACAATGGGAACTTCTCCAGCTCCCCAGGACCTCCAGCGCTTGACTCAACGGTGACCCCGGTGCCGGCGCTCGCCGCAGTCGCGCCCGCCCGTCACTCACCCCGCGCCGTGAGGAAAAAAGCTCTGATTATCCAAATACAGTCATTAAAGGGGAAATGTGTTTTTAGGGCTGTCAGAGTGATTAATGAGGGTTAGCAAGCCTTGCGAACGCACTTGTTTAGTCTAACTGGCAGCCTCTATTTCCCCATTGATTTATTGCGGCAGTTTGCCGTGGATGTGTGCGGACGGAAAGCACCGGGACCACGCCGGGCTGCGGGTGCATGGCTTTGCCGTGCCGGCCCGGCGGCAGGCAGCCGAACAAAGGCAACATTATACCTTGTGCTGGGGAAGGAGTGACTTGGAACAGCTCCGCCGTGCTGCGTGCCTCGTAACTGTCCCCGTTTGTCGAGCCCCGAGCCCATCCGGCCGCAGAGGATCTGCCCACCCAATAAAGACGTGACCGAAAGAGCCAGGCCACAGTTTGTTGTTGTTTTCCTTCCTCTCCTGCACATAAACCTCCCCTCCCTCCATGTGTTTTAGGTGATGCGGAGGTGTTTGCCCGCAGGCATCCAAGGCGTTGCAGACCGGAGCACCGAGTCTTCAAGGGGCTGGTGCCCGCCAAGAGGAGGTCAGGTCAGGATGCAGGGGCAAGGGAGCAGCTACAGTGGGTGGATGGGAAGTTCCTCAGCTGCATAAAGCAGCTTTTCTTTCCACGTGAGCTCTGGTGGAAGCCCTGCAGAACACAGGCTCTGTGTTTGTGCTCTCAAACTGGTGTGGGCATCTCCTGTTCCCCCCCCCCCAGCATCCCTGCACCCAGAGCTTTGCTTTAGGGGGGGATGCTTTGTGCTCTGTAGAGCAGACCTGAACCTGGAGGTGGTCCTGGCAGCCAGAGCTTCCAGCAGCAGAGTTCCTGCTGCCCTGGGCTGCGTGCTGGCACTGGGAACAGAGCAGACGGGGCAACGTGGGGCACCAGGGCCCAAAGCTGCACCCCTGGTTTGCGGCATGAGCAGGACCCCGTGCCGGAGCCTGGTGCTGCCCCATCCTATGGTTTGCCTCCAGTTTGAGCAGCACAAGCAACGAGAGCCCTTGGAGGAGGCGAGTGGAGAAGAGGAAAAGACCTCGAGGTGCTCAGGGAGCCCCCAAGCCAGGAGACGTGGGCAAGCACCCGGGGTGCTGCTGTAACCGGGAATGCTGCAGGTGGGAGACAGCTTCCATATGGCTTTGAATGGAGGCTGAAGAGCTGCTGCTGTTGCTTCCCATAAACTGGCGTGTGGTGGGAATCCTCCCAGCGGCACCGGTTGCAACAGCGACAGCATCATGTTCCCCACGGACCAGGACAGCCTGTTTTGACTGCTCACCATAGGAAGCACCAAGGGGGATCCATGGCTGCCCCTTCCCTCTGCAGCATCTGATCCCGAAGCCAACTGCCCCGTGGCAATCCAGCATGGATGCAGGGTCACCGGTGGGCTGCAGAGCGCAGCCTGTGCTGCACCGTTCCCTGCAGCCCTGCTCGTGCTGGTTCACACTGGCAGGCGTGTAAGCGATCCTGTTCATTACGTGCTGCGTGGTTCGGAGTTATCTCTGTTTATTACGGTGATGAATAACCGAGGAGTCATAATTCCATACACACAAATGGTTCGGAGGACGCTGGGGGAGACGCTCGCTGACAGCTCAGTTGACTGACTCTGTTCCTGCAGCTCAATGCACAAGAACAAACAGATTGCCACGCACCCTGATGCGTTTGAGCACGGCGCTTATGGAAACCTCCTGCAGCAGCTTGGTGCTGGCTTCATCCCACCTCCCAGCCCTGTGCAAGGGGATGTGACCCCTGCGAGGATGGAGCCATGCAGGAGCTATGAAGAGGTGGTGGGATCCCAATGGGTTGAGCGGAGCTGGGATGCGCATCAATGACCTCTGCCAATGCTTCGTGGTCCCAAAGAGTGGGGATCATCCCTCCCGGCCCAGCACAACCCGGAGGCAGCCAAAGGACATGCAGCATCCTGGGCATCTGGAAGCTTTATATCCCCCTCTAAACCC